TGCATCTCGATAAGTAAGTTTTTTGGATTTAACATCATCAATAGTTTTTTGTAATGACTGAGGAGAATAATTTTGATTTGATCGACCTCCAAATTTTTTTTGTAATTTCCCATTTTTAGTCCAAATAAAAAAAAAGTATTTATATATCATAGGTAGGTACCAAATTAAGTTTTTTTTTTTTGTTACACGGCTTTTAATAAAATTATTTTATATTAAAATTACCTAACTTGAGACATTATTCCAGGTTACTAAAAAAACTATTTTTTCCAGTATTTTATAAAAACAACAAAAATGACATATAATTGATAACAATGAAATATTGTATATAAATCACTTGTAGTTGCTGCAACTAATGTTGGAACCCACATTTACATTAAACTAAAAGCCATGTGTATACTAAGGTTTAACATGGTTATATAGTACATAATAGTCTACATACATATTTATATTTAAATAATAAGTACTTAAAATGTGAGTACGTCCGGACAGCAAGACGACCGTTGTGAAAGTGTTAATAAATATGTGATTATACGGTAGTGATAAAAACATTTCTAGAGCTCAAATCTTATAATTGATAATACTATATCATTTGTATTCAAGTAAGCCATGTGTCCCAAGTAATCCTGTTTTTCGGTAGTAATATACTTTTAGGTTATTATATGATTAAAATATGATTTTAATGGGCTCTACAAAATCTTTATATATTCATTTAACATTTCTTCAATTTGTTAAATAGAATTGTTTTATTTATAATAGTTTATAGATTTGTACAGAAGTTACAATGAGAAATATATATACTATTTGTTTACATAAAACTTTATAATATTTACCCTTACAATTTGTTAATTGCATTTCGTATTTTATAAGATATATATTCATAGTCCTCAAGTATCCATTAATATGTACTATATATTTGAATGTTATATTTTTTATTATTATTATTTACATTTTTTTATTAATTTATCTTACATATTTTTAAAATTCTAAGATTTCTCATCAGCAAAATTTAAAATACCAACTATTTTAATTGTGTTACTTATTACTGTTAACGTCTGAAAGGGGAGTATGACAAAATCCTTAAGTGTGCAGTACGAAAAATCACATATTTTAGCCCCTAGACAGAAATCATAACATTTTTAAAGCTAGAAATATTATAACAATAAATATTTTTATAATACTTTGAAAATGTATATATATATTTTAAAATCGAAAAGTTATATTCAATAAAGTTGTACGTGGAATTGTTTATTTATTTTCTTTGGAATATCAATCATATTTTAAAATTATAAAAGCGTGAAAAAGCTTTTTTTTAGTACCTTATGGTATGAATATTACAGCCCTAATTAAATGGAAATACTTTTCGGTACTAATTTTTTTTTAAAAATATTCTGCTTAATAGTACGGTAGTGAATGATTTATTTTTATCGTGTAAGATAATAAATGTCATAATTACTCATCAATTTCCAGTAATTAAATTTTTTAAAATCTTCAAAAATTCAATAAATGAATGTATCTATCTCAATACGATAATTTTATACAATTTTATGATACTGATTTTATATTAAATTTAATAATATGATTCATTATTTTTTATTAAAAATACTTACAGGTAAATACTTGATATAGAAGAGCTATGATAGTTTTTAATGGATTTTGTATTGTATTAGTAAGCCTCAGATTTGTAACTGTTCCGACTTATATTTATTTAATCACTCTGTAGATATATGCCGTTGAATATTAAAGAGTGTAATTAATAAGTTTACAAGTTAATGTTTATTATATTTTAATATTATAAATTAAAATGTCATATGTACGTTGTTTTTGTCTATTAAATTTGGAATAAGTTTAAGATTTAAGTAGAAAAGTGGTTTATAGTAATTATTATAATTTTTTAAATATTAATATATTATACTATCAGAACTTGCAGTTGTAAATCGGTTTTTTACAATGAAATTAGTAACTAAATAAATTATCAGTTTTTTTATATAAATAAAAAAAATATAAACAGAACCATTGATATTTTTTTATAAAGCACTATAATGGTAGGTATATAAATCATAGATAATAGGTACAGTTAAATTCTCATAAGTTATAACTCGTAATAAGATGAGTTAAAGAAAATTAAATGTTTAAAAAAAATTTAAAATCAGTAAATAGTATAATCAAATGTTCTTTTAGAAACAAAATTATCTGAAAATCAAGGCACAATCTAAATATAAAAAAATAAAAATGTATCGATGACATAATTATTATTAAGATAATAAAATTTATAAAATAGTTTGTTTCTCTCTGTAACAGCGTGAACGCTTTTTTATTCATAATACTCTAAAATATAAGTATATAATGTGCTTTGTGTTAATGCGCATTATATTGTACTATATTTGTGAGTTTTGGTTTTTTATGCGTTGTGAACTATGGTTCACGCAGTGAATATTAAATATAAAGTACAACAAAAGCGTGGTTTTTTTTGATCATATATCTCATCAATTCGATCTATAACGAAAATCATTGCTGACGTGCTCGATACACAATTAACTACGATAGTGGATTAAGAAAATGACAATTGTACATGGATAATAAACGATAAAATAATAATGACTGTTGATGCTCTCTGTATACAGCCGAAAGTCTCTAGATCAGCGATTCCCGAAGTGTGTTCCGCGGAACCTAAGGGTTCCGTGGGACAATCTTGAGGGTTCCGCGAGATGTACCTGAATATTGAGAACAATAATTGTAGTTAACAATAATCATAAACTATCTTTAAAACATTTTTTAGATTATTGGTTTTTCAACAATAAAAATAAATTTAAATACAAATAATTACAGATTTTGTATTAATTTGGAGCTAGAGAATTTGGGGTTCTAAAAAACAAAAAATATTTGTTAAGGGTTACGTGGTCGTAAATGTTTGGGAACCGCTGCTCTAGATAACCATTTTTTTTCTTGGAACCAATAAATATTTATTAAAAAACATTTTTCATTGAATTAATTTTATATTATTATTTTATAATTATACACTAATAAGAGTTTTTGAAATCGTAGCATTAAAATGTATAGCTAAATAATGTTTCGAAACAACAAGCTGCTTTCGATACAATTTGTCGTGGATTTGAGTTCACTTAAAAGACATCAAAGAATTTATAAAATATATTTTTTAAACATTTTTAATTTATGTAAATGTATTTATGACATGTATTTTTGAAAATTTTGTATTTTAAATTTTTAGGTAAACTCTGAATCGCATACATTTGTTTTATTTATTTACATATGATTTATTACCATTTGTTCGTTTTCATCTAATTATGGTTGTATGTCACGAAAATAATAATAGCTATATTATGTTATATGTTACGAAAATATTTATATTTTATTTAAATAACCTTAGTATTTGTTGAAAAACCTAAACCCACTTAAAAAAAATATTTGCTCCATTCCGCCCCCCCCTCTTGGAAAAAAATTCTAGTGCCGTGCCAGCAAATGACACATCTATTCCAAATTAAAAACAATTCTACAATTTCAAAACTGAATTCTCTATTTTTTTCAAGTCAAATACTGGTACCAATCTAAAATATATAGACTATACTACTAGAGTGAATAGAATTGGTTTGACTATTAATTTTATAATTTACTATAAAATATTATAAAATCAATGGTTTGACCAATTAAATCAGTATATTTTTCGTTCTAGTGTGATAATAGGAAATATAATAAATCTCAACAAATATTAAAAACTGACTTTATTAAAAGACTTTTTAACATTAATTTACTTTAAAAAATACTTACCTTGAAAATATTTTTGGTATTCATCAGTTATTAGGGAATCTACTTTTAATACTTGTCTATAGAGGCGGCTTTGATTCTTTGCTCTGAAGAGGTCAATATAATTTGGTATAAGTATAAATCTATGTATATATACATGTGTATGTGTGTGAAATCGCTCATTTACATACTTGCTTCAGTGTATCATTTGTAAACGTATTCTTGTACTCAAAGCCCATATATATATATATATTTTATATTATAATATTCTATTTGTCAGGTGTCATGTAAACTTTAAAAATTATTACAATAAAAATGTATTTAAAAATACATGAACCTTCAAAATTGATTATTTCTAGACAGAACACCAAAGCCGTAGTATAAATAAAATATAATATATTCATTAAGTAGGTACACATTTAATACTATTTTAACTAATAGAAAAAATACATATGAGTAAATAATTATTATATAAGAAAATACCTGATTACCAATATAATGAAAGAGAAATAATCTCTTATAGGTCAAAAAAGGCCTAGGGTGCATGTCCCCTTTAAACAGCGTCACTGCTAGCGTTTATTTTTTTTTTTTATGATAAGCACCAGTGATGTTCTCACATTTTTATTTTCAATATTGCAATCTTTTTCTCACAGTTATATAAAAATGTTGGTTATTTTAAACATTATTTGATACAACCTGTTAAAAATCATTGTTATTCATTCTTTAGATTTTTACTATATTCTGTACTTATTTTAATATTTTTTATGGATAGGAATTATAACTATTATAAAACTAATTTTACAAAAAACATAATAATCTGTGCTGGTGACGATGTAATGTTAGTAACTACTGCCCATAATATAACTATTGTCTAGAATCAATATATGAACATAAATATTAAAATATTGTTTCCATTTATTTTATCATTCACACGAAATGGAAATACTATATTTTTTTAATTATTTCTTATTTTTATTTTATTATTTTCAAAAATAAAATTGAAGATACCCGTTTCATAAAGCTTATTCTTATGAACATTTTGGTATCTTAATTTTTTATTTTCATTCATAATTTTTAGTATTTAGTAATCAAGTATACATATTAACACCTCTTCAAATATAAAAAAAAATAATGAAATATAAATATATAATAATATATAATTCTATTAAATATAATATAACTAATATAACAAGAGACAAACATTTAAAAATTTAAAAATCACATTAACAAATTGAAATTGGTAATATATTTGTGGATATTTACAAGTTTTAATAGTACACAAAAGATTGTTTCTATATTTTTTCATTATAACTATACTTCTAATAGCTCATCTAGTGTCTTCATAATTTTAAACTTAGAACTTTGTTTAGGATCTAGAGGAGCATTACCAGGTCTCACCAAAAGGGCTGAACTACAACCAGCTCTTTTAGCTGCTTCTGCTTCAGCTAGTACATCAGTCAAAAATAAAATATCATGACAGTTCACAAATATTCTATTGGCAATATTTTTATAACTGGTCTCTGAGCTTTTTGGTCCCATTTTGGTGTCAAAATAATTTACAAACATATGAGACACATCTCCATACATAGAATATTGAAATAAATACTCCTGAGCTGTTGTACTTCCAGATGAATAAGTATATATTTGTTTACCCATACTAATTAGTTTTGTTAAAACCGGCAATACATCTTCATATAAGTGACCTTTTAGAAGACCACTTTCATAACCTTCTCTCCATATATGACCTTGTAATTGTTTAAGAGCAGTATTTTTCCTATCTTTGCTCATCTGCCATAGTACATTATTAATGACAGATTCTTTTTCATTGTTACCCGTACAAATCGGAACAAAACCTTCAATATTAGAATCAAGTGCAGCTTGTGCACGTAATAGTTCTAAATCCTGTTGAAAAGTTTCATCATTCCAGTATTTGTCAACGTAATTTTTCAGAGCTGCAGCAACATAAGGAAATAATGTATCTTTTACAAAGCTAATAGATGTTATAGTTCCTTCTATATCCAGAAGAATTACAGTCTCTCTTAATGGCATTATAGACCACAGAATATTTTATATCTGTAACAATTAAAATACTAAAATAATAAGAAATTAAAAATAAGTAAATAGTTAATACTCGTAAATTATAAATTAAATTTATAAAAAAAAAAATACAACCCATCAATATTTTGTAAGAACAAAAAAGATTATAAGAATTTTACATATTCTTAAATATAAAGATACACTGATTTTTTTTTTTTTTTATGAAACAATATTGTACACATGCACATTTAAATATTCAATCAATTAATTAATCATATACATTTTTATATAATATCATTGGCTTCTTATAGAAAAAAAAAAAACTTGTTTCCAATTAAAAATAATATTATACTAAATTGAAAAATGTACTACATTTTTATTTTAATTTAGAATAAAATACCTATGTTTAGCAAAATATTGTATAATAGTATTAAACATTAACATTATAGTACTTAAATATTATAGAATATTAAACATACTATAGAATCGTAGTAATAGTTTACAAAATAAAATAACAAATTCAATGTTAATAAGTTAAATATCTTACAGTATAAATTTTAAAATCTTGCACCTAATCACTATTAAATAAATGAGTTAATCACTAATTACGGGTCATCATATATATTCAATAGGTATATGAAATATAAATATTATTCAACCAAGATAGGAAATTTTTAATAATAAGCATGTGAACAATCTGTCACCTGTTGGATATGTACATAAAGAATAATTACTAGTGGATACTAATGGATACTTATGAATACTTTACAGTTACTAATTATAAATTGGTTTTGATTTTGATTTGTAAGACCAGAAATATAATTAATACATAAGTTATTGCTAAAGTTTAAGACTTGTTATACTAGGTTATAGGTAGACAGTGGCATCAAGCACTATACTAAGATCCTGGTCTGAAATCTTCTGAAAATTGAGAATGAAACCACTTCATATAGAGCCGAAGTTTGGCTGCCAAATCATATGAAATCTTCATTACAAATTTAAAGCCTAATAACAATATTTTTTGGGTAAAAACTACTATACTATCCCCCCAACTTCTGGTATGCCATTGAGGCATATCAATAATTAAATATTATGACCTTTATAAAAAATTTTCACCAGACTACATTTTATAATATTTTAAAGGGAAAGTTGATGGTAAGCTACTTCGATTATTTTTTTTTTTTTTTGCTACGTGGCATTTTAAAGTCACATAGCTTACCAAGTTAGAGAAAATTATCCTCTAATATTACTTTAAATTCTTACTTTGATGGGCATTAAACTTTAAAATTTTTCCACCGATTAAAAAACATTTAAAACCAAAAAATACACATGTTCTAAAATTTAGTGACCAACTTGATTATTTCAAAATAAAACACAATATATGCATAAAAATTTAATCAAATAATGATAAACACATTTAGATTTCACTGTGACTGTGTAATAAAATAGAATAGATGTTTTTTCATTATATAAATAAAATAAGGTAAAAAAATTAAGAAAGTCAATAATGTTTAAACTCGTGCTTTTAACGTTTTTATGAATACATAATTGGGTATTTAAATTGTTTTTAATGCTGCAAGTATGGAATCCAGGCAGTTATTTATAAAACAGGTAATTTATTAGAGTGTAAGGTTTCCTTTTTTTATTTTGTGCATTATTGGTAACATACTACAATAGTTTCAAAAATATAGTTATAATTATAATTTATAATTTACTATAATTACATATTTTATTTATATTTCGAATAATCAGTACATAACAAACAATACACATATCTACTAAATGATTAATTAATAAATAAATAAGTATGTACTTACTTCAATAGATTTGAAAAATGTAGAACTCTTTTGGGTTAGAACAATTTTATATTTTTTTTTATAAAATTGTTAAGATGAATATTTACTAATGACTTTTAGTTAGTTAAAAGGAACCTATACAAAACAATGCAAATTAAGTAATAAGTTATAACTATTGATCTATTTGAACAATTTTAATATTATTGGAGCATTGTGTCTTGTCTTATCTTGTACTCAATAGCGAGTAGTCTTATCATCAAGAGATAATAAACCTATAACTAAATAATCACTTGCAACTCATTATGAAATTATATTAAGAACATGTATGGATAATTAAATAGTATTTAATTATTAGAGTAATATATAAAGATTAATTTACTGAATCTATTCTGTGCAATTTTGGACTTTGGAGTTGAAAAAAAGAAATTGTTCTCTTTTTTGATGTTATCTTATCTTGTATATGTAAAATGAATATGTTTCATATATGATTAATACGAGTAAACTAAAAAACTGATCGATTTCTATGCCATCTCCGGAAAATCGACTTTGTTGTCCGAAGGTGGTTTGAGTCCATTGAAATTCTTCCTTCAATATAATATTTTCCAAGCCCCCATCTCCTAAAATTGGTTTTTTAGGTATTTTCAGTACCGTGGTAACACGAATGAAATAATAAACAGTTAATAAATTAAGTAAATAAATAAGATAATTTATACATTTATTTTGTTGGCATGTGTCAATTTTTGTTGGATTGTATTTTTTTGGGACTAAAAAAACACATGACAGTATAGTAACCAGTGTCAATATAAAAATTAAAAATAGTTACAGGTGGTTGTCGAAAAACTAAAAAAATTTCGCTAAATATTCTTCTTTCGTTAATAAGCAAATAAAATGTCTGTCTCACACAATTAAAATAATTTTATTTTTGCAAGCTTGATGTACGAAAAATCATACGCGTTTATGACTTCTGTCAAAATAATGTGAAACCCTAACTTAAAACTTTTTATTTGAAACCTATTTTACCAGACTAAATTGAAAAAGAAATACTTTTGTCAAATTGTAAAAAGTTTACTATAATTAATAATTATAGCAACAAATTAAACTACTAGGTATAATTGTTCTTATTATTACTTCTTATATTCTTGTTATTATAAATTGCAGGTATGTACTCGTTAGTGATGGTAAGAAATAGCAGTAGCAGTTATAATAGCACTGCTATTTTACAATAGCAATCGCAGACTGCTATTCAGTATCAACAATAGTAGTGATTGCTATGTTTTGAATTTTGGTTTTTATGTTTTCCTAGTTTCTTACACTGTTTTATAGCTGCTATTATATTAGAAGTTAGAACACTCAATATAATATGAAAAATAGCAGTAGCATCTTGGCGGCTGGTAAGACAATATTCACAGACATAATAAGTTTATTCTATATATCTGTGACATGTGATAATTGATAATGCGCGTGTTATCGACGCTTATCGTATGCTCAGATATTAGATATCAATATATATATATATAAGGATTTAATAGACTGCTATTTAGTATAATATACATAACAAGGTTAGGTTATAACCTAGGCTATAAAGGCTATAACGGTAATCGGTCAAAATATCCAAGAACAAAATATCCTCGGACAAAATAACCAAACCAAAATATCCTCGGACAAAATATCCAAACCAAAATATCCAAGGACAAAATATCCAACGGTCAAAATATCCAAATTTATCCGTTTTTCTAAAAATTAGTATCAAATTATTTAATTGACTTGTTAGTAGCAATAATATCACAGTTATTATCGATTATGACCGTTATGGGTATTGTTAAATTGAGATATCATTCCGTTTTGACTTCTGGTTTTTACTGTTGGGTTTGATAAATTGCCAAGTTGCAGTAAATTTAACTAATATTTAAACGGTAATAAGTCGCAAACGGATTACTGAAATTAAATTCTTTAAACGTTAAAATTATTTTTTTCTGTATGTTTATAAATTTTCGCTATCAAAAATGGTATTGCCATTTGAAAATCGAAAGTTAATAGTGTTTTATTAAATAAAGGAGGAAGTTGAAATGATAAAAAATTGTAATACAGTGTAAAATAGTAAAACCCAGAAAGTTTAAAAAAAAAATTATTTTAAAATTCCTAATACTTCCTGAGATATTAACTGGTTCACGATAAAAAAAATCACCCTGTATTTTGTGATATTATAACGGTTAACATAATTTATTATACTTTTATTAATAAACAGTGTATATAGGTTGAATTAATTTTATGAGCTAATTTTTATAATTTAATACTTGAGCTAATATTTTCATAAAATTTAAGTTTTTTTTATGATTAAATAATTTGATATTGGCACTAGTTGTACAGTGTAATGTACTTATTTTCGAAAAAACTAATAAATTTGGATATTTTGTCCGTGGATATTTTGACCGTTGGATATTTTGATTTGGATATTTTAACCTAGATTCATAATAACATAGTTAATCATTTTCCTGAATTTCGAGAGGGGTTTGAACCCTTAAAACCCCCATCTTGTGTACCTACACGCATGCGCTGAACCACAAATATAACACGAATGACGTACAATTGTTGGAATATTAGTGGATCCATTGTAAAATTTCCGTCCATATACCAGGTAGAAGCTTCAGTTAAATATTTTAATCCATTATCTGTTGCAAAAACAATAATTCGTTCATCAATTCCGTTATCGTGCAACAAAAATCGTGTTGATTTGTCACTCAAATAACACCAATCATTTTCAATAACTTCTTAATTGATTAAGACTATTAGGATTTATTGAATTGTTCTTCGACTTTTGTCTCCTTAGTCTTCTTTTTATGATTTCTTCGGCTGGCATTAGAGCTTTTGTGTTACGATTCACAATTACTAACTCTTTAGAAAATATTTGTCCTGGCTTTTTTTCATTATTTTTTCCAATTACAGTCACATAACGGAAATATAAATAGCCAGATATGAAAATACCTATACACGGATAGTCGGATGTTCCCAATGAGTACATAGGTACTAATAAGTTATTAATAATAACTATTAACTATCTGTTATTATTTTATTATAAATGAAATATTTTCAAATTGTAATAATAATTTTAATATTCTTACTATAGCCTAAAGATACGCATCATTCAATGTATATATTAATATATTAATATAACTTTTTAAAATTATTTTTATTCGTGTTTATATGACAAATATAAAAAATATATATTAAAATAAATATACCTAATAAGTCAATAATAACCCTTAATTCTATAAAAAAAAAAACGCCCTTCCAAAAAAGCCGCCCTAGGCTATAAGCCTTTTAGCCTGCCCCCTAATCCGCCACTGAATATACCCAGTATCAGATTTAACTGGGGTGCAATGAAAACCAAAATCTAAAATTGAAAATGGTCTGTTTCGTTTTTTTATTTTTTGCTCACTCATTCTTTGAATATTTTTTGATTTTATGCTGTTACTTTTAAATTAAATTAATTGCATATATATATTGAGTAATTTGTTTTTAAAGAGCTTCCTATTGGTATTTGTACACTGGCTCACTGAGATTTAGATCCGGCACTGAATATACCTCAACAATTAAAAAAAAAAGTATATATACCATATTTTAGTGACTTCATATATTTTTGGAAAAATATTTATGAAATTAAATTATCTATTATAATTTCTATTTAAAAATAAATTTTTATCATAACATTAATAAAATATTTAAAATAATCAAATTAATATTACATTTTTTTATATTGTAAAAGTTACTATTAATACAAAAATATATATATGTTACAATATAAAATTTAATAAGGCACCTTGTATTGAAGTTAAGACACAATAACATTTACTATATTCTAAATGCATTAATATCTAAAGTCTTGACTAAGGCATATGAATTTGATCAGTATCTTTTTTTTTTATTTCAGTATGCTTGCTTTACTTTAATGTTATTCTATCACGCTCTTATTGTTAAAACTATATAATTAAGGAGATCAAAGCAATGTAGTATCTGATTTTAAGTATTTATGAGTAAATTGTTTTCCACCATATAAAAAAAGATAAGATTTTTTTTAAAAAAATCAATAATACATGATATTTCCATCTTATATGAAGGATATTTATATGAAAGAAGAGAAAAGACAATCTAGATACTTAGAAGTGTATCGCAAGATAAAATCATTCAGTGTAAATTCATATTAGAAAATAATATTTTTGTTTACAGAAAAAAAAATATCTAAGATGTACCTAGTATAAGAATTTTTTTGACAACTTAATTCTATAATTTTTTAAAGATAAAATAAAAACTTAAATGTAACAAATATTTATAATATTAATAACTTTGAATCTATACTTGTTAAAATGGTAATATAACACTGAATGCTACATCAATGATATTGTTCTTCTTAAAAAAAAAAAAAAAAAAATGAGCCTCTACTCTGAATTTACACTGAATAGTTTTGTTCTACATAAATTAGTGGTGTATCATGTTTGGTTAATATACAATATGATTCCTTTTAAAGGTTACACTAAATAATTCTGTTAGGGATAATTGTAATATAAACTTTTTTTACTATTTTTAAGTTTTTAACCCTTTGTGCACATGTTCAATACAACTTTCTTTTTTTTATAGCAACACCTACTTTCGTTAACACATTAGGATAGACTAACATTTTTGAAGTGAACATTACCATAGATCTAAAACTAAAATTGTCTAAATGACAATGTGTTAAAGTTTCGATTAAAATTATTAAATTGTTCAACAATCATCCAAGTATCTTATAAATTATCATGTAATTTTGCAAAGAAAAGTAATACGTCAATTTATAACATGCATAGAGAATGATAGGCTAAATTTTGAACTATTAATTAGTTACTGGAAATTATTTTATTCAAATAAATAAAATTAATTATTAAATGTATTAAATTGTTATTAATTTGTTCAATTTTGTCTTAGTTAATTAACTTACATTTATGTCAAAGGAGTAATTGAAGTTAATTAAAGTTAAATGTTTGAATAATGACTGCAAACCTACTAATTAAAAAAATATATGCAAAATTGCAAAATAATTCATAAAATTCTAGAATAATTGATGAAAAATTGAATAATTTTAATCGAAACTTTAACTCGTTGACAATGTTGGTTTTAGATCCAAGGTGAAAAGGATCAAATTCATTTAATAAATGTCGGTCTATCCAAATAGTTTATTGAAAGGAGATACCAATTAAAAAAATGTAAGTTGTATTGAGCATACGCACTAAGGATTAAAAATTTGAAAATAGTAAAAAAATCTATACTTTAACAGTCCCAAACTATTTAAAAACACTCCACTTCAATCAAATGCCACTGAAAATAATTATTTAGTGTTACCCTTAAAAGGAATCATACTGTATACTACTTTCATTTTACTACATTATTACACTAACACTTTACTACGCAACACTATTATAATAAATTACTATAAAATAATATAATCTAATGGTACACTTGTCACTTCTATTTAATTTCTTAGTACAAACAAAAAAAATAGGCAAAGTTAATACATAAATAATATAAATATATAAATATAAATAAAAAAAATACATAAATACATTATGCATTTTATAAAATAAAAACATTAGAAATACTATGAGTATTAAAAATAATATTTTTTATAAATTATTTAAAGGTAATTCATGAATCGGCATTGCCAAAGTTCATAGTTCTTCGCCGTTTAACTAATGGCACATAAAAAAGACTGCTACTTTCAACTACTTTTTCTATATGAATTGAGTTTTTACTAACATCAATATCAATTTTTTTAGCACCATAAAAACTGGGGAATGGTTGTGAGAAATGATCCTGAATAGTTATTAACTGTACATGTTTTCCTTTTTTTGTTTCTTGTTTATTATCATCAGGCCTTGAATGTTTTATTACTTTTCTTGCACCTGAACATCTAAATATTGACCCTTGTTCAACCTCAATATTTATAGATGGTATACTTATTTTAGTAGATATTTCTTTAGAAGAATGTTCAACAGAATCATTTAGCTGGATAGATTCTATTGAATTATTAACATGGATAATGTTAGGTGATTTAGATTGACTATTTTTCTGTTTGGATGAAATAGGTGATTTTATGTCAATACTTGGAGACAAAGATTTTACAATACTTGTAGAAGAACTATATTCCTTGTAATTGGTTGGAGTTGTACAAGTTTTATGTAAAGATTTTCCTACATCGTTCAGTTTTGTATTATTATCCTTTCCTTTTACTACAGTTTTTCTTTTAAATGGTACCTGTTCAACTTCA